CTGCTCCAGAACCAGCCCCAGCTCCCTCAGCTGCTCCTCATAAGACTTGTGTCCTGCACAGGCTGAAAGCCTCTGTAGTGCTCAGAGCCCAAAACACCTGAGCAAATTAGGGAGCAGCAAGAGCAGGGGTGCACCGCCACAGCAAGCCACAAGCCAAAGGGGACAGCAAGGCAGGAGGGGGTAGAGAGCTCACCACAAGCAGCACGGCTCCGTGGGACCCAAACGAGAGGAGCAGAGCAGGTCTGGTGGCACTGACCAGGAACAGCCACAGTGCAGACCCTCAGGTAAGTCCCACGGCAGGTCCACAGCCAGGATGCCAAGAGCTACAAGCCCACGTCCACCGTGCACCCGCTGCAGCTCAAAGAAGGACCAAAGCAAATGGCCTCAACTTAAACGCAGGTCCTGTGGCAAGGGGCGGAGGGTGTGTGGGTGGGGGCCCTACATGAGCCTGGTCAGGGCAATTAACGTTCTCAGGGCCCTGGCACACTAACGCGGGCAGGCTGGGACTTACTCTCTTCACAGTCCTAAGAGGACGTGGTATCATGCAGTGAATCACGAACACCATAGCAACATGTTAAGAAGTGAAAGGTTAAATGAATCTCGTCTAACCAAACTTCATCTTGTTGCTTAAAATTGCTGGACCGACATATAGGTTGCCTGTGCTGTCATTGACAGAGGGACCCCCTCTGCCAGTTAGGCCTCAAAAGTCATCAAATTTATGTGGAGTCAGTCCTTTTCTGTAAAGTCTGGACCCTCTGTTGTCACCCCTGTCTAAAAAAGGTTCTTGCAGCCAAGATACAGTCTCTCCTCTCACAGGTAGGAATGAAGAAGCAGCCTCCATCATTGCCATAAGCATGAAGCGTTTCTGAACCCAAGCCGACAGTTCCCCTCGTGTCCCATCCTCTCAAAATAAACGTTTGGCAACTCAGTAGGAAAGGGGAGGAGAGGGGGGACGACCCATGCTGGACTGAGCTTTCCCTGTGCTCCTGCTGCCCCACTTGTCCCCTCCACACTCTCCACCTATGTTCTGCATCACCTCCTGCTCTCTCACAGGGTCCCAGGAATTTTCTAAATGGCTTTTTTGAATCCTACGCATACCTTAAAAAGCTCATATATACCTTGTGAATTGCTCTCCCTTTCATCAGAACATAATCCTTTATCTTGGACTTTCTGGAAGATCTGTTTCAGGGAAATAACATCATACACGTGATTACTCAGAACAACATGTACGCATTAATTCCTTAAATAATGCTAATTCTCATGGCGTACGTGAGGTTGCGAGAGAGGCCCTGGGACGTGAGGCTGACTGGTCCTTTGCACAGGGAGCAGCCCCTGCCTGAGGAAAATGCAGCCAGGAGAGGAACCCTCGCGCTCCTCCATTTCTGCCGAGACGCTCAACAAGCCCTTATTCCTCAGAAATCCCATACGTGTTTCGCCTTGGGATAGAAATGTTTCTTTTCTCATCATCTCGAGCCAGAACTGTAAGACTGACATGACGAAGGGTTCCGTCGGCAACTCATCTCCTGGATGATCAAAGTTAATTGGCTATAACACAATTCATTTTGGATTACTGGTGAGAGAACTATTATTTCTGTAAGTGGTGGATTATTTACACGTTCCTAATCCACAAGACACCTTGGGAATGCCCTGGATAAGGGATGAGTCGGGATTTCAGTATGTGGCTCACCATTTGTACGTGTGATTGGCATCATTTTAGGAACAGAATCCCCATTTTGATCTCTCTGGAAAATCTGCAGCTGTATGCCAGTGTAGTAACACTGACTGCAGCGGAGCTACTTATTTCCAGTTCAAATTCCCTTAATTTAGGAAATCAAGACCTTCAGGTTTCCAGGGCTGTCCCCACATTTCACGCGTCTGAGTTACACAGAGCAGTTTATACCGCACCACAAGCTCCACCGGATCATGTTGTAGCTTTGCATTTTAGGACAACAAGCGCACAGGTGAATTGTAACTGGTAATAACAAGAAGGGTACTGGGAGAGATATAATCAGTTATCTATACCTGGGGATTAAGTACCAGTTCTAACCGTGACATCATCCCATGAGGTAGTTATAAATAATAATGACTTCCGAGGTTGCGAAAGCCTTTTAGGCAGCTAATTTTTGTACGAGGCACACAATAACCTTCTGCTGAAGGCCAGCAGGTGTCAGCAGAAAACACAGAATTAAGTAATATCTTACTCGAGCACAGCAGACAAGACAGATAATCAAAATGCCACCGCAGGAGCAGAGAAGGATTTTCCCTCTGATGCCCCCCAAAGCCTTCCTCGTCCTCATCATATTCCCCCTCATCTGGTTTCTGACTAGCGCCAGAGAGCAAGAGGTTGTTCTGCCAAGAATACCACCAAAGAGAGGAAAAAGGGCATCCCATGGACCCTCGGCACTGGACACAGGACACGGGGCTGCCCCCACATTCAGAGTAGCCCCTTGGCAACCCATTGTCCAGCCGACCATCCCAGGAAGCCCCAACGTGTTGGCCAACAGCGTCCGAGGAGCCATGGAGACAACAGCATCGCAAAGTTGCCTCTTTTCTGCCCGTTAAGTCCTCCTGCTGCGATCCGAGAAAGGCTGGAGTGCCCTCAGGTCCTGCTGGTCTGTAGCATTTGGGGAATGTTGGGTGGGAATCATCTCCTCTCACTCAAGCTGTGGCAAAGGTGGGAATCGCACCAAACCAAGGCTCTTCTGTAACTGATGAAGGGCGATTCACCCCATCCTCAAACAGCTGTTTGAGACTGCAAAGCCAAATTAGGCTTTGTGTTGGAGCGGGTCCAGAGGAGGGCCACGAAGATGATCCAAGGGCTGGAGCACCTCTCCTACGAGGACAGGCTGAGGGAGTTGGGGCTGTTCAGCCTGGAGAAGAGAAGGCTCCGGGGTGACCTTAGAGCAACTGCCAGTGCCTGAAGGGGCTGACAGGATGGAGAGGGGCTTTTCCCAAGGGTGTGCAGTGATAGGACAAGGGGGAATGGCTCTAAACTAAAAGAGGGCCAGGTTGGATGGAGCTCTGAGCACCCTGGTCTGGTGGAAGGTGTACCTGCTGATGGCAGGGGGGTTGGAACCAGATGATCTTTAAGGTCCCTTCCAACCCTTACCATTCTATGATTCTGTGATTCAATATTATCTCCATTTTATGCTTTTCTTGCTTTCATGCTCTTGCTTAGGAAATGAGTCAAAGTCAAGAGACTTTCGAACCAACTGAAATCGCACATTGGCATGGATCTACCGAACGAACTCTCATCTTTAAATTTGTCTTCTCCTTTTCCCCAACTGTATTGTTATTACTGTATGTTTCCTCCAACCAGCTTTTTATAACGGAATAACACATTCCACCAGCCTTTACAGTGGGGCAACTTGGAATTTACTGTATTTACCCAGATTGAAAGAAGAGTGGGAAAAATTAAGAAACAGGCTGGATATCCCAGACAATCAGAATATCTCACATAATTTTTCATTTACAAAGCTGCTGCCCCCGTCTTGTACGAGCTGTTGCAGCCACCTCAGCTCAATATATGTCCCCAGGCCAGCTCTGGCTCGTCCATCCAGCTCCTCTCACTTTGTCGGTTCCCAGTTCTTCCCATCTGCAGACATACCCTGCTCTTCTTACCTCAAAATGACATATCACGCAAAAACGTCGCTAAGCTGAGTCAGTAGGTCACCGTGCTGATGACGTCGCGTGATTCACCATCCACACCTATGAGACAAGTGTGTCACCCAAAGCCACCGCGTCCATCTGGACCGTCTTTACCTCAGGTAACACGTTCTGGGACCATCTTTACCTCAGGTAACACACCTTCTGGATACAACGATTCAGCATGAAAATTCACACAACCCTCTTCAGTTAGAGCTTTTTGGAATAAGAATATGAAGTTGCGCCTGTATGGTGCGCAAACAGACCCAAAAATCTCTTCAGAGTTTTAACTGCTGACACTGGCAACGTGCGGTGTGATATCATTCTGGGCTCCCCAATTCAAGAAAGATGAAGACCTACTGGAGAGAGTCCAGCGGAGGGCTACAAGGATGGTGAGGGGACTGGAGCATCTCTCCTACGAGGAGAGGCTGAGGGAGCTGGGCTTGTTCAGCTTGAATAAGAGAAGGCTGAGAGGGGACCTTATAAATGCTTACAAATATCTGCAGGGTGGGTGTCAGGAGGATGGGGCCAAGCTCTTTTCAGCGGTGTCCAGTGACAGGACAAGGGGCAATGGGCACAAACTGAAGCACAGGAAGTTCCGTCTGAACATGAGGAAGAATTTCTTCACTCTGAGCGTGATGGAGCCCTGGAACAGGCTGCCCAGGGAGGTTGTGGAGTCTCCTTCTCTGGAGATATTCAAGACCCGCCTGGACAACATCCTCTACAACCTACTGTAGGTGACCCTGCTT